GCGCTGGCGCCAGGCAGCCCGCCCGCACGGCCCTGCTCGGGTCACGCTTCCCTGTGAGCTTGGTCTGGCTGTGAATAATAACGCTGCAATTGCTCGTCTGTGTGAGCTCGGTCCGTCTCTAGGATGCGTTCGTTCCTCTCTGAATTTATTAAACGGGGTTCTGAGCGCTGTCGGATGCGCAGCTCGGGAGTGGTGTGTTTGAAATAGCGAAAAGCAGGCCTGGCGTGGGGACCGCACCGACCTGTGGAGGTTCGGAATGAGCCAGGCGGCTTGGTGGCTGCGCCGATTCCTGCAGAAGCATTTCCATCCTGTGCCGCTAATGAAGGGCAAATTGTGCTGTCTGTAATTTGTAGAAAAGGTCTGTTCGAAAAACACAAGTGCGACTCTACAAAGAAATTCCAGCTGTGTGTAAAAACCAAAACCAAACGGTCCTGCTTACCTAAGAATCTAATTCTGCTACTATTTGTGCATAGTATTAAACTTGAATGTAGCAATAGCTTTTTTTTTGAGAACAATTTGTGAGATTTCGGACTTGAACATACATTTGGGATAGTTTTAGTTCTCGTTCTACAGTTGCAAGATACTTTTACTGGTTATTGGTGTTTCTGCTACGCTATAATGAAGAGTGAATAATAAGGTAATAGTTCAATTGAATTTGTATGAAATCATGGAAATTACACTTTAAAAGCGTCATTCACAAGGGCAAGCTCCTGTAGATTCTTAAAACATTCATCGTGAAAAGCCTCGATCAAATATGATACACTTTGATCATCTAGTTCTTGTGTCGTAAGACCCAATGGTGACACGAGCAGTAAGATATATTCGTGGCATACCTGTAAGATAAATGTGTGATACTCACCAAATAGGCATTTAATTAATTTTGTACTTTTCTCTTTGTATTGTCTTTCACTTCCTGAGTGTATTATTCAGGCTCGCTCATTTTACAAAGCCAGGTTAGTAACCCAGGCATCCCGAGTGGATATTTCGCTTCTTTGGGCGAGGACATGCCCTGTCTTGCACTGCTCAAGCCATTGCAGATGCACAGCTCAATCTGTGGTGTTGGCTCAAGGCTTTCTTTTTAAAGTTTCAAGTAATTGTAATGTAGTTTCTACTTCTTGTTAATCCAGTTCACCCGACCAAGGACAGCAGGCCTCCTGAGCTATGATGGGCTGACTGCCCCTGCCTGCAGTGATACTGCATGCCTGGAGCATCTGTGATTAGTTGATCAGTGGGCGAGCCCCTGTACCCCATCCTGTGTTTCGATGGGTCTGAAAACTTAGTCCACTCCATCTTTCCTTTCATTGACACTTCGTGAATAATGAAACCGTAGTAATGTTCAAAAGCATGCTGTGTCACCACGCTCCTATTCTGCTCCATACCCATTGATTACCCTGCCCACAAAAGTCTTGTACCAGTAAAACACGGCACGTGTGCAAGGGATGCAGAAAGGGAGGGAGTGCAACATCTCCTGGGTCTGCTAAAAGAAAAGTTTTTGTAACGTCTTTAGCGTTGAATGAAATCACTGCTGGCCAAATGGACATGGCAGGGAGTTCATCGCAAGCGTGTTGTCCAACCTGGTGTGCAGCTTAAATGATGATGGTGAAGACTGGCCTCTCTGGGTGATGGCGTCACTCAGCTTTTGCAGTTGGACAGAGAAATGTTTTTCTGGTTGGCCAGGCTGAAGTGGGTAGGCTGAGGGAACAGGAGAGCATCGCATGGGGTGGTGTGGTGAATTTTAGAAGCCGTTTTCAAATTTTTTTGGCCATATTGCAGTGCTGTGCTGACTCATCGTTGTCTCGACCTACTTTTCGCCAATATGTAAAATAAATCCAGATATGGAGTCTGATAGAATGAGTTTGTTAAATTCGGGCTTTCTCTTGATTAGAGTGAAAAACCTGTTCTCTGAAGTTTGAGTCCTCAATTGCTTTCCTCTAGCAACAGCATTAACTGGCTTTTTAAATGAAATTACGAGGGGGAAGAAAAAAGCATTTAGTATTGGCATGGTAGCATTTTCACACAGGTCATTTTCCCATCTTGCACTGTCTCATTCCAACAGTATGTCCAATATTTTTGGCATTCAGAGTTGAAAACAGTGAATAATGGAGCCTTGGGTACATCCATAATGTGTTTCCTTATTAAGCCTTAGTTTTGTTTTCTTCTTTCTTTTTTTTTGTTTTGTTTTTTAGCTTCTTTTTCTTCTGAAGTACAATTGATTTACTACTTAATTTTGCTTATTTCAATTTACATGGCAGTTTAAATATCCCAACATATGGGAAATTATATTTTTAGTTCAGTATATTTGAAAAAAACAACCAGCAACAACAACAAAAAAGACAATTTATACACTACAGGAGTCCTGACTCTGAGGTGGAAGGTGTTAATATATTAAAGTAAAAATATAGTTATACCAATGTTGAATTCTCTTTGGTCTTGTTTATGGACTTTAAAAAATATTTTCACATGGAATACTTTCATTTACATAATTATAACTTATTTCAATAAAATTAATGTATAATGTTACTGGCAGGTGAAGTGGAGACAGTTTTCTGAGGCTTAAAAGAATTCCTCAGGACACACGATGCCAATGCGTTTGCTGTTTTCTGTTTGTTTCGTCCTGTTTTGCAGGTGGAACTTGACGTCCTGTGGAACCAGCGTAGCCAGCTCAGAGTGCAGCGAGGAGCTGTTCTCCTCGGTTTCGGTTGGCGATCAGGACGACTGTTACTCGCTGCTGGATGACCAGGAGTTCACCTCCTTCGATTTGTTCCCCGAGGGCAGCGTCTGCAGTGATGTCTCCTCTTCCATCAGCACCTACTGGGATTGGTCAGACAGTGAGTTCGAATGGCAGGTAAACTAGTTCCGCTGTAAATGTAAAATTTGGGATCTTGGATTTGTTTCTTGGTAACTACTGAATGTAAGAGCAGGTATCTGAATCTTCAGCAATGAAGAAAGCGTTTTGTTCCGTTTTATTCCAGCAGTCTTAATCCGGAGGAGAGGCTGACGGTCAGCTCTTCAAAGAGGAATGCTTACATGTTATGGAAGTTTGGTTTCTGTGACCAAATGCGTCTTGTAGCCATGAGCTTAGATCTTTTGTACTGAGGATCTGCCCTGCTAATGAAGTCTGGTTATAGATATCTATTTGCAGTGGTTTGGTCATAGTAAATCTTCCTTTGGAATGGAGCTGGAATCTAGGTAAAGTGTAGAAGCTTTTGCTGTAGCCTATTTTCCATCTTTTTTTTCTGTGCCAGTAAAAGAGCTCACTTTGTCTCACCAGGATGGGAAAAGTGTGAAGATGAACCACATCCTCCTTTTCCTTGGTCTGTATTGGATGCAGCCCTGGTCAGGTCTCTGTAGTTTGTGATAGTCTCATTTGTACAGCAGTTTTTAAATTGTGATATGCAAACCTTTGTGTATATTATAGACTTAAGTCAACCATGAATATATACCTAGCTTTGAAACAGGAAACATGGTGCTTTGGAATACTTTTAAATTTTGTCATAAGTCTTAGTCAAAGCATGTATAGAGTCTTCTAAATGCAGTGTAAGGACTGAAAACGCTGATTTCAAGAAAACACAAATCCAGTTTCAGAAGATGCAAATGAACTTGAGATAACAGATTATTTTAATGGACTGAGATTAGCTCTGGATTTCTCAGTGGTTTAGTCTAACTGCTAATCTCTACATGTATTCTGTCACTGAATTTACAAGTTCGTTTGTGTAATGCAGCCCGTAGGAACGATTCAGATTGGATCCTAAAGATTCAGAGGTTCATTCAGTTGGGAAATTTTAATTGCCTGATAAACTTGGCAATTGTTTTGAAAAGAAGTGGTTTCCCGTGTCTTAGCTGACAGCATGTTTGATTAGTAACTAGCTTTTTAAAAATTATTCTTTGTTTTTTGAAACAAGCGTTTCTTAAGAGACATACTTGATTGGACTTGTAGAATTTTGCAGAGACTTTTTTGTAGCAATTTATGGTGTTACCTGGCAAAATCTGAGCATGAGTAATCCAACTGTCACACTTTAACTGGAAGTGCATTGGGAAATTATATGTCAGTTGTGTAAATGAAGCTACGTAAAGTTCTGCAGTGGCTTCCAGGAAAATGAGAGTGATTTTAATTGAATTGTCTTGTGTAAGCATGGAGTGTGGTGTAAATTACAAGCCTACTTTGCAATGATCTACCTTGAACTAGACTTAGCTTTAAAATGAGAGGTTTAGGCTTAGGTTGGGATTGTAATGGACAATTTACACTGATGGAGAAGGGGAATAGATGAAATGCCATGTCATTCTGCTGCTTTCTGAAGTGCAACTTTTTACAAAGAGGATGGAAGAGTAGAGAATAGTGTGAATTGAGTTTGCTGTGCTTGCTGTTTGTTGGAAGATTCCAAGGAGCACTGCAGGCTTATGAGGAATTATTAAGACGGTTGTTAGAGCACGTACACAAGTGACGCTTCGCTAATCATAGAATCACAGAATGGTTTGGGTTGGGAGGGACCTCAAAGATCATCTAGTTCCAACCCTCCTGCCATGGGCAGGGACACCTTCCACTACACCAGGTTGCCCAAAGCCTCATCCAACCTGGCCTTGAACACTTCCAGGGATGGGGCATCTACAACTTCTCTGGGAAACCTGTTCCAGTGCCTCACCACCCTCAGAGTGAAAAATTTCTTTGATGGTATGTTCTGAGTTGTTAATGGTGTCAGAATGACTTCAAATCTGCCTGCTGTATTGTAAGGCTTTGTTCTTTCTCTTGCATGTTACAAGTTGCCTGGCAGCGACATTACGAGTGGGAGCGATGTACTTTCCGATGTTATACCTAGTATTCCGAGCTCACCTTGTCTGCTTCCGAAAAAGAAAAACAAGCATAGGAATCTTGATGAACTTCCATGGAGTGCAATGACAAATGATGAACAGGTGAAATCTACTTTTTTCCTATGTGAGAACTGTAAGATACAGAAGAACTTCTAATTAGTTCCACGTCTTAGAAGACATACTGATGGCTGTAGGTGTAAACGCAGACCTGTGCAGTACTACTTGATTCTTTCAGCTGAATATTCTTGTCTTTAAACTGCCTAGTGCAGATGCAAATATGTACTGAAGTTTTCACCCTTTTTTGAGAATACTCAATGAGACTAGAATTATAGGAAATGTGGTATGTGAGCACATTTTATTCTGTTGGTCCTTCCTTTTTTCTGTTACTCGTTTAGAATCAATAACACCTTAAAATGACTTGCCTTTCTTTGCGTCCTAGGTTGAGTATATTGAATATTTGAGTCGCAAAGTCAGTACGGAGATGGGCCTTCGAGAGCAACTTGATATTATTAAAATTATTGATCCTACTGCTCAGATATCACCTACAGATAGCGAATTCATTATTGAATTGAACTGTCTCACAGATGAAAAGCTGAAACAGGTGAGTTGAGGTTTGTACATATGACTCTGGGGTTTCAGCACCTGACAGGTCTTGCCAAACCTCTTATGGAGTTGTGATCAATTTTTATACATAATCATTAGATAAAGAGATACACTGGAGACCGATGTTGTCAGAGGGAGAATAGGGTTCAAAAGCATATGGTATGTGTTAAACCTTCACAGGAAAGACTGGGATAATGTATGTATTCTCAATGTGTGTTAAGCCTAAGCTGGCATGTGCATAACGAGTTATGCTGTGGGCCCAGTACTGCTTATGGCAAAGCATATTCTGCTTCATGACCATCAGCTAGTTGAGAACCTTTATTTGTTCACTGAATATAAACTAGCATTTAAAATTCCAAAGGGTTGGAATTCGTTGGGGAAGACCATAAATTTCATGTAAAAAGGGATGTAGAAAAATGTGTTTTAAAAACGTTACAAAATACAAATTATAACAAAGAAGCGTACCTGATTGGGGTGGTAGATACATGCTACTGTCCTCTTAGTCTTTGTTCTGTCCTTATGTGCTGTCGGGAAAGGATAAGTATCCCAGCAAGTTAAACTCCTCAGTGGTACTCTGTATCTGTGGTTATGATGAAGGTAAAGATTAAATGGAAAACATTCATTGCTTTTATGGGCTTGGCCTATTTCATATTTGAAACATTCTATAAGCATCATCTTAAAGTAGAAAAGTACTGCTTTCCTTATAGCTGCTTTTGTTGGAATATACCTAGCAAAAGAAAGGGTTTTGATACATGAGGTGAACAACTTAGTTCAGTTGAACTCGACTGACATTCCTGTTTGGTGTTTATAATAATAACAATTTATTGTTACGTAGTAGAAAACTTGGAGGACAGAAGAGGGGGTGAAAAAACTCCAAACCTTATTACTGAGTTTTCTTCCTTCCGTAGAGAAGTTCATATTAACTTAGCTAAATTTCTCTTGATGACTGCCAGATGGCTTGGGATTTAAGCAGCCACAGCACAATGTTTTGAAAGACTTAACTGAACCAATCCAATAACTTTATCATTATTAATAGGCAAATTGTGTTTTTTTTCCTTGAAAAGGAGTATCTCAGTACAGTATTTATCAGGCTTTAGTAATTCTGCTGCCTCTGTTCTAAAGGTGAGAAACTATATCAAGGAGCATGGACCTCGTCAACGGTCTGCAAGGGAAGGCTGGAAGAGGAGTAGCTACAGTTGCGCCAGTACCAGTGGTGTGAGCGGCGCCAGTGCCAGCAGCAGCAGTGCCAGCATGGTCAGCTCAGCAAGCAGCAGTGGTTCTAGTGTGGCTAACTCCACCTCAAACTCGAGTGCCAACATGAGTCGAGCGCACAGTGATAGTAATTTGTCCACAAGTGCTGCAGAGAGGATCCGGGATTCAAAAGTAAAGTTTCTGATTATGTACATGTGTATTAAGCTGTCTGACTGGTTCAGGTTGCTTATGTGATCTTAACTGGGATATGTGTTCTGACGGAGCATGGTTAGTAACTGAGGATCTGCTGAAGTTATCTTGCTAAACCAATGCTGACTGTTTCCTCTGACATGACCATAAGGAATTTAAACTTGTGCTCTTCTCATCACTTCTCTTCTAAGTGAAAGCTTGATGTTCGTACGTAGTAGATCTTCTCATTACTTTTTATCAGAATAAGGTGAGTGAGGGTTGAGTAAGGGCTTATGCATCTAACTTAATTCTTTGAACACACAGTTTTACCAAAAAAAATTTATTCATGATTGATCAACCTAATCTAGGCATAATTTCTGGATAGTAAAGGCTGTCTTGGTTGTGTGTTTTTTCCCAACTAGAAGTTTCATCAGGCTTTTTGAATCTTCTTGAGTTTGTTCTTCCAACATGTCTCAGGAGATTACTTGGTGAGGAGTGACCTACTGAAGCATGTTTCAGTTAAAGTAGTACTGTGGCACTTGTCCTGTCTCCATAATTTCAAGTGTGGGAGAGAGGAGCAGTTCCTGCTTGCTCTTCAACATCTCAGGTGCTTGTTGTAAGACTGTAATATTTCCCCTGCAATAAAGATTCTTGCGATCAAAGAGTCAGCTATGCAACACCACAGGGTGATGTTGTGCCTCATAACTCAGATGTTTTAATGCTAGATATGATTTTGGGTGAATGTTCATACCACCTCTGAGAAATCATTTTAGTTATTTTTCAGAGCAGACATTATTGTAAAGGTTAACTTATATTAGCCAGCTTTAAAGGTGGTTTTTATTTTGCAGAACAGAACCTTATTTGTTGTCTCTTCCGTATTTCCACAGAAACGTTCCAAGCAACGGAAACTACAGCAAAAGGCCTTACGCAAGAGACAGCTGAAAGAACAAAGACAAGCTCGTAAGGAAAGACTGAGTGGATTATTTCTTAATGAAGAAGTGCTCTCTTTAAAAGTGACTGAGGAGGACCATGAAGGAGATGTGGATGTTTTAATGTGACAGGGGTGAATTTGTCAGTGTTCTTTCTAAGCCTTAAATGTATTATCCTTATTGTTTACATATATTTCTTGACCAAATTTTGATTAGCGCTAACAGTATAAACCAGATATTTTCTCAAGTGTAATTTGGTAAGAAGGTCTAAGTATTGAGTGACTTCAGCTTTTTGAGACTGACTTTTGCAACAAAGACTTCAGAACTTAACTGACTTCTGAAAAGCTGCTGAACAGATGGAATTTTAAGGAAATTCGAACTTGGCTAACATGCTAACTTACTTGCCAGACGTAAGTCTAGAGGTGCTTTCGGATGACACTAAGCATGCATTACTATGCTTCAGCCTTTTTGCTTTTTTTCAACTTAGAGTTAATATTACACTTGGCTTGTTCTGTCTTCCTTTCCCATTATTAGGAAGATTGTTTAGCATGAGGAAAAAAATCTTTAGTTCTATAGGGCTTTCTTCAGTCTTGCTCTTGGATCATACAAAATCAAAGTACTGTGATAAATCCTTTTCTAGAAGTTGTGATTTAACTCAAACTACACAGAAAACAAGAAACAGGACTTCTAATGCAGGGAATCTGTAACACAAATAATGCCTAATACTGTAGTTCTTCAGGAAGCAATTAGAATTAAAAAAAACAACAACTTGAAAGTTGATCAACCTTCAGAAAGTTATTTTGCTGCTCAGCATCTTATAGTATGATTATTCCTAATGGTTGACCAGTACATCCCTAGTATTGCTATGAAAAGAGTCAAATAAAAACATCTTTATGCATTGAAGGTGCACTAATCTGCAATTAATTTTTCAAGGACACTACTTACAACAGGTAAAAATGCTGCTGGAAACAGAAGCGCAAACAAGCGGCACACGACTCCGATGATGTTTTTTTTTCCCCAGAAGCGTATCTGAATAGATTTGTGTTGTTGGCAAGAGAACTTAACTAATGCAGCTGTGCTTTTTAATTGTATGTTTAGCTGATGTGTCTTCTGTGTGGGTTGTTACACCATGACATGACTCAGAATTCTCCTTTTGTTGTCTATCTGCTTTTGAAATTTCTCTTGTTAAGAAAACGAGGTAAAATTGTAGCTTTCAGGTAAGGAGGTAAAAGTAGTTTGAACCTGTTTCCTAATTCTGACATTCTGTAAGGTGACTTTTGTCTTTATCTTGGAACTGCTTGTTACAGAACTCCTTCCCCCCCACAGCTGAGATAGTAATGATAGTTCTGAATTTCAATGTGAAGCTTCAAAGATTATCAACGTATTTTCTGGATCTGAGATTAGGAAGTCATTTTTGTTATCTTGATGCTTCATTGCTTTCATTTTGCTCTTGTGAATTAAGGAGTTTGGCAGTTTGGTGTGGCCACTGTATCCTGTGATTGCAGGATATAGCCCAGTCCTGCAGAATTGCATGTTCAGCTCTATATAGGACTACTTACGCTCATTGTGCATGTCCTGCACAGGCTATTAGCCCTGGCAGCTGAAGTATTTTTCTTTCAGGAGTGGCATTCCTCGTAGCATCAAAATAAGCTGATCAGTAAAACATCTGAACAAGGGCCTCTGAAAGGGCTTCGATAAGAAATAAATGAAGTCCATAGTCAAACCAGTATGTGTGAACTTAATCACTCTTACTGCTGCTAGACAACCGGTACTCAGACTTGGCCATTGACTGATTAAAAGCTGTGTAATGTCATTTTACACTTGAGTGTTAGCTAGCCCATATGGCCAGTTATTTGGCCACTAACCAGAAGTGACTGTTAACTGTCAGTCAGTATTTGCCTGCACTGCACTGTAGCTGGTTGATGCCTCCCTTCCTCCTGTATAAACAGCATCAAAAACTTCCTAACAGTATACAGGTTACTCAGAATTTAGATTGACTTAAATCTGGAGCTTCTTTTAAGTATCTTGGATGGAAGAAAAAACCGAACTGCTGTCAGTTCAGCTAATTTCAGGGTGCAGTTGTTGAACTCTTGCAACTTACCGTGGCTGTAATGGATGAATTCATCCTGAAACATTTCACTGTGTGTACACTGTCAGAGTTCAGTACAATCTTTATTTTCTGCAGTGACTTTGAAATGTGATTTTTTTTTTCTGAAGAAAAATGCACACTTAATACTGTAGAGAATTGAGATCTGAGATTAGTTGTAACAAAGGTGCAATATCTCAGTGTGGCGGAGCACAAAAGTGTGTCACTTTATTCCGTTTCAGCAGTTCTTCAGAGTTTAAAATCCCTCAGGCTTTGTTGAGAGAAGACCTCCTCATTTTGATGAGATACAGTTCTTTTTGGTTACGTGTCTACTAGCTTCCAGAGATCATGAAATGATGGAGGACAGTATTTCCATCTTGATCTTGGTGTGAGCATGTAAGTAAAAATCGAGCCAAGCAATTAGATGGGTCCAGTTGCTCATCTGTTACATCGGATGTAAAGGACCTGGGTGCCACAGTGGCTGATTGTGGTATGTCATCTGCTGCTGGGTACTTCAGTCCCTTGTATGACGGTTAAAACGATAGAAGAGAGTGGATTTCCAGGAGTTCCATGGCAATAATTTGTAGCTCTGTAATCTTGTAGACCCAGGATGCTTATGACCTAAGAATACAAAACTCTGAATGTTCTGATAAGAATGCAGAATAACATCTGGCGTACCTGAACGTTGTCTTTGCCAAGTACTTGGCATCTCAGAGAATCTGGCCTGAAGTAGCTGTGGGATTCAAGAGTTCTCGCATAATTCTACGTTTGTTTTGGTTTTTTTTTCCCCCCCTTTTCTTTTCACATGCTTTGTAGCTCTAATAACACACTCATGTCATGGAGCAGGGTGGTGTTTTTGTCAGATTCTCGTCTTTCCCTGCAATATGCTGTGTGCTTACCCAGGGAAGTGGTGGAATCACCACACCTGGGAGTATTTAGAAGACATGTAGACATTGTGCTTAGGGACATGGTTTAGGGGTGGACTTGGCAGCGTTAGGTTTATGGTTGGACTTGGTGATCTTAAAGGTCTTTTCCAACCTAAATGATTCTATGAATTTGTATTAGATACCTGTGGCATTAGTCATACAGTTGGAATTTTAGTTGAACCTGGTCGTGCTGATCCAAGTGTTGGCCATTGTGGCTACCGCTTTGTTTTACAGGAAGTTATCCTCAGATTATTGAGTTCAGATAGATAAAGAAGACTAACAGACAGCTAAAATCATGCATTCTTACTAGTACTTTTTCAGAAAAGAGTGAAATATCTGCTTTTTAGTCATAGATAAAAAATGTCAAGCTTAAAAGCAAAATGGAGACAAGCAGGAAAAAGCTCGTAGTTGTGTGACTCCATGGCACTGAAGCTGTATATCCAGGTGCTTTGTACTCACTGTAACATGAATATCATCCGTTTACACTCTGATATCAACTGTTTGCTTCCATGGTGACTTTTTCTCTAACAAGGCTTAGAAGGAGCACTGAAAGTCTGATTGCAATAGGACTGCAAACAATAGAGAACATCCTTTTCTAATATGATTTTAAATATGAGGAAGAAAGCTAGCTGTCTGACAAACCTGTCTAATCTCTGTGTGTATCTGATGTCATCCTTTGTTAAAATATTATCTATTTTTCTTTATCTGGGAAACTGATTAAACGATGGTTCTACTATGCTCAGTATGGGATGCTTACTAAGAGGAGCAAGAAAAGTTTTTGCAAGGCTTTCCTGGGCTTAACTTTTAGTTCTCATGTTGTGATCTGAAACCTGCGAAGATCATTCTCTGGGGAAAAACCAAACCAACCAGCCTGCTTGAACTTACGCATATTCATTTACATCAGAGTGCATATACAACATAGAAATGTATAAAAATGGCAATATTTACTGTTCATCTGCACTGAATGGCCTGAAGCCGTTTCTTTCTTTTCTCCTGACACTTTCAGCTTTGAAATCAGTTGATGCATTGCTCTATAAATGTTAATAAACCTGCCTGGTTTTGGGGGACTCTTGAAGTTCATTCTTGTAAGCCAGATTTTCATGGTGAATGTTGTTAGATTTATTGGTTTAATGTTCTTTATCTTACTGATCTTATAGTCAACAGGCAATTTTCCATCTAAGGATTGCAAAGATAGTCTACTAATCTACTAAGGGCAAATCCTAGTAATATTCAAAGCTTGTCTGTTTTTGACTAGTAGCTCTGATAAATCATACTTGCATTCTCTCTCATCTGGCAACTTTAAAACATTTCCAAATTAAAAATAAATTCTTCAGTTGAAAGAAAAATAAATTGTAATTTTGAAGTCTTGAATATAGTTCATAACCAAAGCAAGGGGAAAGTGAGGTTTTGTGATATTTTTTTTTTTTTTTTTTTTTTTTTTTTTGGGGCAGAAATGGGGGTACATTGAGGAGTATATGTTACTGCTTAAATTGAGTTGGTTTTTTCCCCCTCAAATTCTCTGCTAATTGTATTGCAAAAATGCACTTTTGTATAGAAAACTGTCCTCTGTACATTCTGTATCTACTTTCCACAATGTTTATAGAGATTTTTCTGAAATTATGAAGAATTTACTGAAAGCTGCAAAGCTGGTGACTGATGCTGTTGACTTAAGTTTTCATTGTATTTGAAAATAGTTATGTGCATATTGAAGTGCAGGTTGGAATTAAAATTCATGACACAGCAAAGATATTCTGATGAAACTACGGTATCTTCTTCAGAGCAGGGGGATTCATATATAGGTCTTGCTTACTCACTGTTCAGACAGAAAGTACAAATAAAGTGGCACACATTAACTGTTCTTTGTGTCAGAAAGCAAACCAGTCTCTCCCTGAGTAGTGCAGTTTGTTATCCCAAAATCTGATCAGAAATGTTTCATAGGAAAACAATTATTTGTTGTCAATGACATAATCCAAGATTTTGTACTGAAAGCTGTCCTCAGTTTTGATTTCTGTGCCAGAGGATTTTTTTATTTACATGCTATTTAATATATATCTGTGGGCATAGGAAGTCTGATCACTTTTGTTGCCAGCAATAACTCTGAATCTTCTGCTGTCACCTTCGGTACCCATAGCCATCACAGCACCACCTATCCTGTGATGTTTAAAATCCCTAATAGGACTTAGGAGCTGACACCCTGCCATGCTCTTACAGTTCATCGTGCAGGCACCTGTGTGGCGCTGTTGTAAATCCAGATCTCATTTGCTGCAGCAGAAGCAGTTGTGCTTGAGGATTCCAGAAGTTGCAGTGATGCACAC